TCCTTGTTTAAAGAATTCAGCAGGAATGTCGTAATGTCGTTACTATTCTTTAGTTGTCTGATTACCTTTTTAACCTCCTCTAACCTGGGAACCTCGCTCAGTTCTTGTTATATTGGTTCCTGTGGAATTTTGTTGAAGATGTCATTATTATTTCGTGATTCTACGCTTTGGTGGAATGCGCAAGTTCAGTCTGATTCGTATCAGCCGATGATCAGTCCAGCGGTCATCCGCACTTCTTAAAGCTCTCTTAATGCATAGATCATTTCGGTCTCTAGAACTTACAATTATATAATTACATAGGTCATATTTTGAGCATGTGGTTAGTCGGCGAAGTCCGTTCGACTTTTTTTTTCCGACGCCTTCCTTGCCAATCATGCCTTGCCATAGATCTGACTTTGTACCGACCCGGGCGTTAAAATTACCTAGAACAACCAGTTTATCAGATCTAGGTACAGATAATGTGGTTTCACTCAGCTGGGCATAAAATCGCTATTTTTGGATATCGTAGGTGGTAGACGCTTTTTACTCATTGGGCGTCGACCGGTGAGATACCACCATGCCAGAATTGAGTAGCGCTAAGTGGTATCACCACGTTCCGCTACTGCGCTGGCAGTCCGGTTCCAACAATGAGTAACAGATAGCATGATGGCGCCTCCAGGATCAAAATATTCCGGAGGTAAAATACCCGACCACTCGGATCTCCGGGCGTCGGGTGATCCTGGGGGTCCTTCATGCAAAGATATAAAAAGATTAAAAACTCAACTCAGAATTGATTTTAGCAATATAAGAGGAATAAGTACAAATATGAATTCAGTTCACCAACATCTTGAAGAACAAAGACCTGACATCCTTGTTTTCACTGAAACTAAAATCAGTTTTGCAACACCTATTGTGAACTATCTTTATCCCGGCTATGACCTACACCACCGATTTCGACATAATTTTGGGATCTGTGTGTACATTAAAAATGACCTTTCATGTCATCGAGAGGAGAAGCTAGAACCAGCGAACCTTGATATCATATGGCTAAAATTCACCTCAAAGTCATCGACCAAGTTTATCTGCTGCCTCTACCGACCGCCAAGTAACACCGATTACCAAAACTTTTTCGCGACATTATCCGAAAGCTGTGATAGTATACAGTCAAACTATCCACAGGCGGAAATTGTCTTTTTAGGCGATTTCAACGTCCATAATATACCCTGGCTGAAACACCACAACAAAACAGATAACGAAGGCAGAGAAGCAGAAGCTTTTGCCATAAGTTGTAGTCTAACGCAGCTTGTCGATGAACCTACCCGTATCTCAGAAAGGGGCGAATTTGCAGCGCTTTTAGACTTGTTCCTAACCACCAATCCTGACTCGTACACAATTCAAGTAGATGCTCCACTTGGTTCGTCCGATCATAAACTTATAATAACAAAGTGCGAAATGCTCATCCCACCAAGCCTACAACCACTTCCTCGTAAAATGTGGCACTATAAATCGGCAAAATGGAATGACCTAAAACAGTATTACCTGGATTTTCCATGGCAAGAGGTTTGCTTTAAAACAGCTGATCCCACTATTTGCTGTAATGAAATAACACAAGTAATCTTATCTGGAATGGACGCATATATCCCACATACAACTAAACGTAGAGCTAATGCAAAACCTTGGTTCAACAGCCAGTGTCAAACGGCTGTACAGAAAAAACACAGAGCATATAACCTTTGGAAACGACAACAAACCGCTCAAAACCACACAGAATTTATAGAAGCCAGAAATAGTTGCAAAATTACTATTGACTCCGCTAAAGAAACATACAATCAAAGAATAAAAAACAGGTTGCTGAATTGTCCAAGTAGTTCTAGGTCTTTTTGGTCTCTTGCAAAAGCTGTTGGATCTAACTTCACCAAGTCATCCATACCACCACTTACAGATAAAAATAATCACTTAGCCACAACATCAGAGGAAAAAGCCAATATGCTTGCCCAAATGTTTTCCTCCAACTCCAACCTAACAGTGCCAAACGGAAAAACTCCACCGTTCATTGAAAGGGTTTCCCATAGTATGCCAGAGGTACCCTTTTGTCACAGAGAAATACGAAAATCCCTAAAAAAGCTGGATACAAACAAAGCAATGGGTCCGGATGGCATTCCCGCAATAGTACTCAAAAATTGCGCCAACGAACTCACCCCAACTTTCGCAAAATTATTCAATTTGTCTTACAGGCAAGGAGTATATCCATCATCATGGAAGTCTGCCGCAGTACAACCCATTCCAAAGAAAGGAAAAAAGACAGATCCGTTAAACTATAGACCAATTGCTCTACTTCCGGTGATATCAAAAGTAATGGAAAGAGTTGTGAACAATCACCTAATCAAGTACTTGGAAAAGTACAAAATTATCAACGATAAGCAATACGGATTTCGAAAATATAGGTCAACTGGCGATTTACTTACATACGTCACTCACTTATGGCAAAAAGCGATTGAGTTGCGGGGTGAAACAAGAACAATTGCCTTAGATATATCTAAAGCATTCGACAAAGTTTGGCATGAAAATCTGCTCAACAAGCTCAAAGCAATGGGATTATCGCCGAAACTTTGCACTTGGTTTGAAAGTTACCTAAAGGACAGATCCATTTATGTTGCACTGGATGGCCAGAACTCCAACTCTTACCAAATAAATGCTGGTGTGCCACAGGGAGCAATCCTTTCGCCAACTCTTTTCCTGATTTACATAAATGACCTCATAGATAAAACAGTAAATCCACTTTATTGCTTTGCAGACGATGGCAATGTAGTCTCCTCACTCATACCACCCACAGGTCTTTCCGCACGTGAATTCCATCATCTTAGACTAACTCAAATATCGCAGATAAATAACGACCTGGAGATAATAGAGGACTGGGGTAACAAAAACCTTGTACAGTTCAACGCGCAGAAAACCCAAGCAGCTCTGTTTTCAAAAAAGACCAGCACCGGTGAGCCAAACATCATGCTATCTGGAAGTGCTGTCACATTACAGAGTCAGTTGAACATCTTGGGGGTTACTGCAGAGACCAACATGTCTTGGCACAGTCACGTGGCAGATATTGCTAAAAGGGCCTCCCAAAAGCTGGGGGTGCTATTTCGTACAAGACATCTGTACACACCAAGCCAATTGCTGACACTCTACAAAGCCCAGATTCGACCAACTATGGAGTACTGCTCACATATATGGAGTGCAGCACCCAAACATACCTTAATGCTTTTGAATACCGTGCAAAAACGAGCTATCAAGCTGATCAATGACCCCGCACTTACTCGTAACTTGGATGGTCTCGAACATCGCAGATCTGTGGGCGATTTATCTCTCTTCTACAGGTACTATCACGGAAAATGCTCTGAAGAGTTGGCACGTATGATTCCACCGAGAGTAGCACCTACCAGGCGAACCCGTCTAACAGTCGGTAACCATGAATTTACTGTCAAACTAGAGGCACCAAGAACCTCATTATATCAGAATTCATATCTCTGGAGAACAGCATCGCTGTGGAATAAACTCCCTGCGACGGTTTTCCCTGCAGGTTACAACCTGAACCGTTTCAAGACCAACATACACCGACATTTCCGCGCACTTGCCGCTTCTCGAGCGTGATAGGACATTTCCTTGCGAGTGCGCATATCCGTAAAAAAAAAAAAAAAAAAAAAAAAAAAAAAAAAAAAAAAAAAAAAAAAAAAAAAAAATCGTCAGCTGTGAGGGTTGGAGCGTAGGCGTTAATTAGCTTGTTGGTTGTTGCTGAGGTTTAGCCTCAGTGTCATCAGTCTTTCGCATATTCCGGATGGAAGCTCAGCAAGATAGTCAATAAATTCATTTTTTATGGCGAAGCTTACTCCGTGCTAGGTTCATTCTCTTCCTTCCCTCTCCAGAAAAACGTATAGCCTCCGCCGTGCTCCTTGGGTCGATTTTCGCCTGCTTTTCTGGTTTTGCTTTATATAACTTTCAAGCCAAGCCCGACGAGATATTATTCTAGTCAGTCGTATGGAAACAGCTTATTTTCAAATTTAAAGACCATAAAATATAGAATGGTCGCAAACATTTTGCCTGAACGCTCAGTATAATATTTATCATCTAAGGAAACAAAAGGTTCGTTTTCCCCAAGAAAAATAAATGCCAGAATTTACGAATCCTACAAGGATAAAACAAGCGACTTACGAGTTCCTAGAAAAAAGTAAAAAAATCGCACCATAAAGCCATGATAAATATTCGACGCTCTGCCAGTTTATCTCGGTCGTTTCCCATAACTAGGAAAAATGGGTTGCATCTAAATCTAGCGCAAAGCTCTCTCGGGATCTCGGATCCGAGTCTTGTAATTTTATGCATTTTCCTTTTTTACTGTGCAATAATGTCATCGACTCGTCTAAGAAGTCTTTAGCCCCAATTTGCATTGTGGTTTATGTAGATGTTATACATTTTCATGGGTTATAACTTTTTCTAATTCCGACATAGACGATTTCCCTTCCACGAGGTTGTTGGGTGGCTGCTGATTTTAAGTGATATTATAATTTATTTATATCAAGGAGAAAAGCATTACACATTGAATATTATATTTCAAGGAAAAGTGCCGTTTTCTTGATTGGATTGATTATCAAAGAAATTTTGAATTTTTTTAACAAAATTATAATTTTATCACAGCCAGACGATTCGTTTCTTGGTCTTGCTTTTCAAGACTATTCGAATAGAGGCAGCTACACGCTATAATTGGTTTATTCCTATCTTATCGCTGAAATCTCCAGTAAAGTTGATATGCTTTCGCTTATGTTGCACTCATGAGAGCTTATAAGCTCCCTCTGGTATGCAACTAGCCTAGTATTCAAAGAATGGGGGTTCGGTTCCTCTTGGTTCGCTGTCATAAATTAACTCATTTCGCATTAAACAATAATAAGGTAAATCGTGAGCCGAATAAAATAAGCTTGCGCGATTGGCACCGACGAACAGGTAAAAGCGTCGCGACGCTTTAGTGCTTTAGTATAGCGCGGGCTACGGACCGATATAAATACGCGGCGTCCGTCGTATCGAGACGCCAACGCGAGTTTAAGGTGTTTGATATTTGAATGCGTCGAGATGCCTTAGGTAGGAGAACAATTTAAATTTTTATCAAAGAAAAAACAATCAATCAATAAAATTAATATTAATTTTATTTAACATTTTTTTTTCCTATAAAGCAATTTAAAAAAAAAAAATCGTTAAGTTTGTTGATCGAACGAGAAATAAGTAATTAGATATAAACTTGAAACAATTATTGTAAATATTTTTCTGTTTGGCAACTGGTACTTAGTATTTTGAGAAAATTAAGTGAAGCGTCGAAAAAATACTTAAATTTGTCGCCGAGCCATTCGAAAAATCATCTTCTACAATTGCAAAGTTTGCCAAGTTTTAAATTTGATTTATTTTATCAGTTATGACATTCGATTATTTTTAAAGTATGTTTGATAATGGTTGACTCTTATCCTTGAAGAACTACAAAATTGTCTGGTGTCACTAGGAGATTAATGAGATTAAGGCCCGGTTTATTCACCTTCTGATACACTGTCTGTGACGGATAAAAACGCAATCTATAATCCTATTTGTCGGTCAGTTATCTGCCGACTAATAGGATTATGGATTGGTGAATTTATCTTGTAGATGTAGTGAATGAACCTAATATAAGGGTTATATAGATAGAAGTAAATCAATCTCAACACCGATAATATAATAAATATTGACGTGGATTTATAATATTTTTTGGGATCTTTTAATGGAAATTTTCTTGATCCTCAAAAGAATTACTTCACAATAATTTCTGATTAATAAACAATTAGGCTCGAACGACTTCTGGACTTTGTCGTAGGCGGTAGAAAATTGTTTGTTTACTTGTTTGAGAACTCGAACTTGAGTTTGCAAACAAAATTATTATTATTAATATACTTGAAAAAAAAACTCATAAATAATCGTCTAATGGTTGATTATAATTTATCTGTTCTGAGCTTATTTGCATCAATTTTCACTTCCATTTGATGATTGCGCCTTTACACCAGAATTAAATCACAATATTATCATTTGGATTTAAAAAAAAAGATCCTAAATTTTTCTCAAGATTTTCAAAACATCCTACCCATGATAATTAATATCCAATAATACATATGACAATTTTTAAAGTTCCCTTATTGAGTCCTTTTGCAATCGCTAACAATTATTATAGACTATTGTTTGGGTGAAAGATATTCTTACAAAGCTATTGTCCTAACTTGCAGCCCAAAAGGACAAAAGGTTAGGGGTTTTATCTAAGTGTATCTTTAAGTATACCAGATAACCAAATTTGGCTTGAAGCCATTTATCACATTTGTGAATTCAGTAGTACGGATGATTAAAGAAAAATATTGTTACGAAATTTCCTCGGGAGCCCGGCCAAATTCTAAGAAATGCAATAGACCTATCTATTTTACCAGACAAAGAGGTGATAATACGAAAACTTCATTAGATAGAAAAAGACGCAGAACGCTCATTGGGCAAGACAAGGCAAAAGGTGTTAGACTAACGTATAGCAATTCGTTTTTAGGTATTACTTGCATGGGATAAAAAGGGAAAGAGGAGGACCGTGTGACCTGCAACGTATTTGACAATCAAAAACACAAATAATTTTTGAAGGTATCATAACTATAATGCGTTCTTGAATATCGATCAGTTGGCAAGCTACGTCAAATTGAATATCAACCGTACTTTTATCCTTGTGAGACCACGGGCAATGAACAAGAACAAAGTGATTCCTTGCTTACCTAGGTTTAAACGCAGCATAGTAAATTATGCCAAACCGACACTTGTAATAGTTAGCCAATAAAAAGGCATTGCCTCATGTTGTGCGCGCACAAGGGTAAAAATAGCGTAACAAAATCTGAGAATTCTATTGAATTACGGCGCTAGGTTTTTCTAGATAAATCCCGAGTACACTGTCTTCTATAAATAGCGTGAAGTAGTAGCTTAAGTAAAGTTTTAATTCGATATTTGTCGTGTTGTAATTTAATGAGTGACTAGTGAATTTTGTATATAGTCAGTTAGTTCAATAAAAGTTGTTACTGTTTGTGAAGTGAGCTTTAGTGAACCCGAAATCCCGAGTTTGACAAAAATTTGAATAGCCAGCGATATCTACATGTTCCAGAGAAAGAACTTTCCAGGAAAGAAAAATTTCAAGAGAAGAGTCTCGCTTAATTAGTCCTGAAACTTTTAGCAATGTACAAATGGCACTTTGTTGATTGTTTGATTCGAACATTTGTCAAATTAGATGAAACAAATCCCATTATTGCATAACGGCCCATCATCTAAGTCTCCCATATTGAAGATTTTGGTATATTATGTTTTTGAATGATGTGAAAATATCTCACCTTCATTTGATTTTGTTTTCCATTAGCTTTCCGTGAGGACAAATATTTTAAATCCAACACGTGCTGCTGCAGATTTCGGAGTAGATCAAACTTTGCTCTCAGCGGAAAAGTCAGAAACCCTGCTATGCCTAAAAGCAAAGTTTACCTAAAAGTTGCGAATATAATGCTGTTTTGGGTGAAAGGAATAACTTGGTTGCTTAATAATAATACGTTTGACAGAAAGCACAATATACCTAACTTATGGGATGAAAATCGGTAATTCCACAAAGCAAACGTATTCGGTATACTCACATGAAAACGAGCCATTAAAGATTCACTTCCTCATTGACTCGACGAAGTAGAAATAATAGCATTTCGCAGTCTGATTTAAAATACTTAACTAACTTGAAAAACAATTTTCGGAAGTTATAGTCATTAATATGCAGTTGCAGCTAAACGCCAAGTTCGGAAAACTTTGTTCGAATTCACTCGTGTGACTGAACTGAGAAACGATGAATTTGAAATTCAAACACTTTCGAATTGCACTGAAGATTGTCACAGCTTTATTGTTTAGTTGCATTTAACAGAATATTGCAGCCTAATTAAAGACATCAATTAAAAAACTATAGAAGTAAAATGTATTCTAAGCCAAAGCAAACTTTTGATAATAAATGTAATGTCAGTTCATTTCATGAGCATTATTGTGAACAATGAACGAGTTGCGAGCAACAAGTTGCTACTATTGTGACAAGAGAATGAAGAAAAATTGGGAAGTTGGGGTTTTGTAATATAATAGGAAAAACATACTTTTAGACCAAATAGAGAAAAATTAAGTTAAATGCAATTTTTAAGAATAGTGGAAAATCGCCCTGGTACTATTGAAGATATATACCTACAATTTTATCTAGGTTAAAAATATGTCCACGTGGTGTCTCCAAAGAATTCCTCATTATAGTAGGCTTTAGTTAAGAGTAACTCCCTTTACCCCGTTTTTAAACCTTACCTATGAACGTGAAGACCTAACGCTAGATAGTAGGAAATTGAAGGCTTTCTTGATGGCAAAAACAAAAGACTTCTTCACCAAGGTTCCTCTGGGAATTGGCAGTGGAATATTATCAGCTTGCCTAGTAGAATAGTGCCTTACCGAAGACTATAGACCAGACAATCACTTTCGAGACCTATAAGCATGTTACAATCAAAGTTCTATGAAAAATTAGGCTAGGTTTGCAAGATTGTCGGAAGGGAACTCTAAGCATAAACCTAAGGGCTCTTTTTTTGTAAAATAAATATGGAGTTGAAATTTGTAGAATTACAAAATCTCCAAAATGCAATTTCATAAGTAATGTGTCGCAGCTCTAACTGTTCTAAGAGTACTTTGAAAACATAACAGTAACCTACTAGAAAGTGTCACAACTAGTGCAGTGTAATTTGGACGAACCCGGACATTTGAAATAACAAGCTAAAAATTGGTAAAAATGTAACTGATAATGTCTCTATTGAAATCCCAAAAGTCCCGACAAATCTATTTTGGGGAAAATCCGCTATCTGGGAAAAACTGGTTCCATATTGGAGTATTCGAATTTGAAGCATAGCGAGTGAACCGAACGTCCGGTTTCATTCGTTTTGGTCAAATTTACGGGAAAATTAATTCTTTTTTTTGTCTTTTTCTGTCTGTTTTCTTTTTGTCTTTTGTTGTTGATCTTTGCTTGCTCATGTGTCTCTTTATATATTGTATCTTCTCTGTTTCATTTTCTTCTCTAGCACTTTGTGTGTCTTTGCTAATCGTCTGTGGTTGTGTCTGTGACTGCTATATTAGCCCATTTGTTTATTTTCATCACTTGATGTGTTGCGCGTCTTCTGTCGCATTCTGATTGCACGTGCATTGCCCGTCGGATTCTTTCAGGTTGAAACTTAAACTTAGGATATACTGTTTGAAGTTTCCGTGGCCTGTCAACAGTTGTGTAGCTTTGAAACTAAGCTGCATCATGTCAATCCATCCCTACTTCTTGACAGTGTTTGTACAACTCTCTGCCCTTATCTTTCTCATCCCATGTCATTTGTCAATGTGTTGTAATTTTGTGCTCTCGTTCCTGCTTTATTGTGTCTCTGTCCGTGTGTAAATAGGTCTGCAGGCTCCTGTCTGTTCCAGGACTTTATAGGATAATCTTGGCCAACATGTCTGCTGCTTTGTTTCCCGGTATATTTTCATTGGGGCCCTTCTTCCATGTAAATCTAACACCTTTGTCTTGTTCTAGGGTCTCTTCCGCTAGCTTCAAGACATGCGCCGTGCTTGTCATTTATTTTATGTTCCAAAATTTGCTCTATCATTTTTACTCTGTCCGTTAACACTGTCATGTGGTCAATCCTTCAAAGTTCAAGCCATCATTTCTGCTCTGTCTATGTTTGTGTTGTCTGGTGCTCTCTTTGTGCGCTGTTCTATTCTGTCCTCATTTGCAATATGTACGCCAATGCCCTTTCTTCCCTCTTGATTTGTACCACACCGGAGAATAAATTTAATTGGAATTTTTAATCATAGATTAAATTCACAGTTGGTGTCAAATGATAGTTTATAAAAATCTAAGATAGGAATGTAAAATCGATTTTCCTGTATAGGTTATGGACGTTTATCCCGGTTGCCAAATTTTCAAAATGATCTGTTTTTCAGTTCTCCATAAACGTCTAATACGCCATCAGAACACTATACTCAACATTTTCACCAATATTTAGCTTGTTATT